AAGGGGAGGATATTTCAGGCACGTGATACCCACTAAAATAAGTGGCTCTAATATTTTTGGATTTTCGATCTCAGAAAAAAGTGTAATTGAGCAGTGTAATTACAAAGTGCAATAAGTCAAAAGAGATTAGAAAAACAGATGGAATACTCAGATATAAAGTGTTGTTAGTAGATTAAAAAGTATTTTAGGCGTTTGAATAAAATAGTTTGAATAAAATAGACAAAAAGAGAAGAAATATATTTTCAAAGAAGTTAAAGGAAAGAAAAAAATGGACGACAAGTTTTAGATTAGTTATATGTTGATGCTTCTACTATTGGTTTGCTTTATATTTCGGTGTTGATTATTAAACTGGATTACATGCATGTTGTGTTTTAAGATAAGGTTGAAGGACTAGAGTGAATGCAGACTTGAACTGAAAGGTTTTTACACATTTCGGAAGATACGTTTATCTGAGACAAATTTTCTTCTTGTATTATAAGTCACATTTTGCCGGAGAAGTGCTACTTGACTACTTCTACTCGGTTTCTTGCCATATGTAATATCAGCAGGAAACACCGCTCTAAAATGTATTCTCACCCAAGAAATATGCATACGGAATATTTTCTTTGGAGTAAAACAGGCGTTTGGTCAAAGCTTTACTCTTCTGTGAGACATCATACTCTCGATCGTAAAAAAGTAAAACAGATTCAATCATACCTGTTCGATTTCATTTTCTACATACATTACATCGCCATTGTGCTATATAAATTGCATGCTATCCAAAGCATGCCGAAATAGCCGGAAACATGTCATAGGAACCGGAAACACGTCATCTCATAAACATTACCTATTGATATTAGTGAACGTTCTAGTAAAAAATCATGACAACAGATTTCACATCTTTTTGTTGATTATCATTTTTATTAGCTATGCCTCATTCTCATAAAAAAACTTCTGCCATAAATTGTGCATGTATAACAGTTCTAAATATTTGAAGATCGTGTCCGGATGTAGGCATGTGGGATGTTACCGGTATTTGTTTGTTTGTAACAGGTTTCAGAAGATTTTTTTGCCCCTGTGCAATGAAATGGTACAGAAGATCTGTCAGTTTCTGATTGACGAAATGTTGCTACTTTACTACCATATAATACAGTAACTTTAGCATTGACCAAATATCACATAATGGAAGTACATGATGATGATGATGATCACGACGATGACGATGACTATGATGATGATAACGATGATGATGCAATTTATTGAAAGCCAAATTTTCCGGATCGTAACCTTTGCTGCCACATTTAAACAGTTTTTAAAGACTTTGTTTTCAATCATATACATGTACACGAAAACGTAATGGTCTTCTGATTTTTCTATATAATGAAGCATGGCTGTTACAGGGGTTTAACATGTTATAGACTCTAAGTCATTTTGTTACGTTTGTTTATATGTTCTTGTTTCTGCAGACATGTACATTGATTAAGGATCGACCAAAAAAGGGTCATATTTGAGCCGCGTCACGACAAAACCAACATAGTGGGTTTGCGACCAGCATGGATCCAGACCAGCCTGCGCATCCGCGCAGTCTGATCAGGATCCATGCTGTTCGCTTACCAACTCTATTACAAGTAGAGAAACTGATAGCGAACAGCATGGATCCTGATCAGACTGCGCGGATGCGCAGGCTGGTCTGGATCCATGCTGGTCGCAAACGCATTATGTTGGTTTTGTCGTGACGCAGCTCATTTCTTGTTTCTTGTCTGTTACTTTGTCTTGTGTACATACTGGTGTAAATGGCAGCTAGACTGTGTAGTAAGTTATAAGACTGATTGTTTTCTTACACATATGTAATATGCAAATGACATAAATCGATATATTCTTCGGTTTGACTTTATTTGTGTCATACATATATGTAGTTGATGAATGTAATGTTACCATATATTACTTGTAAAGGAATTTTTGAATTGTGTTTATATTTAGACTATTTTTACAAAATGTCGTTCGCTTAATTTCTAAGGACTATTCTTTGGGCAAATTACTTCCCGCCGTGTATACGCTTATGGTAAACTTTGTAATTTCATATGGTACTATATCTTTTTTTTATATATGATTCAAAACATGATTCTACCGAGAGTTCTGTATGTTGTGTCCTGTAAGTTAGAAATAAATTTAGAATGATTTTTTTTTCACTGATTACTGTGTTAATAAATAATATTATAAAACATCTAAACATACCTTCATATGCAATATGATGTTGTGATGACGTAGCTAACTTGAACGACACCAATAAAACGATTAAAGATGGCTGGCTAAAGTCATTAAAATAAAATTAATATTAAAAAACAATTTATAGAGTTTTACAATTTACAATAGAAAGATCTGTGATTCAGATAGGAATAAAGACAAAGAAAGTAAACCGGCGATGATCACGTGTGAATTTACAACAGACATTACTTAAGATTACTGAACAAATGAAAATTAGAATAATTGTAGTACTGTTGTTCATTAAGACTTTTTTTTATTAATTTCTTACTATTCTTTACGCGGTAAAATCAAGATGTCAATTTCTTCATAGTCTGCAGCGAGAAAAAAAAAGGTTTAACGAGTTGAACAAGCTCATTTTCAGCCTCAAACAAACCGAATCTGCAGCATGTTCAATTCTCTTTTGAACTATCATTAGGGAGTCTTTTTTCTCTTTCTATTTTACATACCCGTACTCGGATGCTTTTGAAATGTCATTTTTTTTCTTCTTCTTCATCTCTTCATTTCGCTCTGAAGATATGTGCGATTTGATTGAAATATTCTATGAAATATTAAAACTGTTGAGTGTAATGTTATAATTATCAGCGTTAGTTTACCTTTTACTGTTTGAATTTTAACGTATGTTAAATATTTGAAAATATTGTTGTAATGTTTCATTCGCCTTTTATAACAGTTTTACGTTATGCTTACATTTGTATATGTATGTATTTTAGATTTGCATATATTCATTGTAATAAATCTCATTGTAAATGATACAGTATTTTTTGATCTTGATTTGAAAGAACACGTTTAATCAATCTGATTAAAATCAGCTCCTATTTAACGCTACGCATTAGGATCCGACATCCACACTATTATAAGTGTGTGTGACCCCTACGTAGCCAGTATATATGATATGACAGTAAATTCGAAACAAATCTGGCCAGTAGTTTCAGAGTTTATACCAAAGTTTTGATGATTGTTGACAACGCACTCAATATAAGTAACAGAAAGAGCATCGGAACACGAGGCTATCTGGTTTGTAGGAGGGGGCATAGCCCCGAGTATTAATCAGATTGCCAAAACTTCTCTTTTGTATCATAGTCAAACATAAAAACGCGTCCTCAGTTGTCACAATATGAAACCCCGGAAAAAAGTTAATTCTGTCACTTTCCCTTTCTCTGCCGTCACAATAAGTAAACCCCAGCAAAATGAACCAATCAATGGGCATGCACTCCAGTTAACGCACTGTGCATGTTTATGTATACGATTTAACTCGCACACATTTTCAACAGAAAGGTCCCCAATCTATAATAGAATATGTGTATCAATCACAATAGGTCACGTTTAACTTTTTGTTCCAGTGAACTAAAAATCCCCCTATGAATACATGTAGATAAATCCAGTCTAAAATGATATAACTGCATGTAGTTAGTTATCAAACAAATATCATATTTCTGCTTCCATTTACAAACGTTACATTGCCGAAAGTAGTTCCTTCCTTGCTACTACTGCCTATGAACATTAGTTGCACTATGTTTGTTAATAAGACATAATTTTAAAATAAGTTTAAAGTATGTCGGCGGCAAAAAATTCTACCTACACAAAGACCAGAAATATAACATTTTCGCTATTCCGTTAAAACAATATTTTGGAAATAACCCTTAAATACAGAGTCCCGAAATCACTGGGTGTAGTATCATATTCACTGGCTGAATTGGGTTTTCCCATTCTAAAAATAGATTGAGACTTGTTTATTACGCCTGTTTATTAAAAATAATTGTTGCTTTTTGTTCTTTATGGCATATTTCTCGATTAAAATATCATTACTTTATTATTATACTTAAAGGCTACACCGCAATGATGAGCATAAACTTGAATTATTTTTGTATGCGCAGCGTTCGCTTAGTCGTTGCATGCCTAACACGAGCGTCTTCTTTCCCGCGCTTCAACGAGGCAGAATTTGTACATGTATATAAGGTTGTACTTTTTGTGATTTTTGTATTTTCTGATCGTAAGATCAGTAAATACATAGCTAACATCCACGGTCTCACACAAAATTTCCTAACAGTCCTAACAACGCAAAGTAGTTCTCTCTCAAAACTGCTTAAAAACCAGCAATTTAAAAGAAAGAATAATTTTTAATGTAGGCATTTAACGAATTAGTGCATTAAAAGTTTAGATTAGTCAATAGAAATATGAGGTTACAATCACAAATTTCGCGGATGAATATCTTTTTTACCCAATGAAAAATGTTCGGCTATTTTCGTAAAGCTTCGGGTTATCATGAATATCATTTTAATCAATGAAAATGCTATTTTTAGCTATGCCGATTACCGAATACTCCAGAGCGTAGTACACAAATAAATCTGACTGTCGAGTAGTGGAATATATACATGTCGGACTGTTTTGGCGAGAAGATTTTCGATAAATTAATTTCATCAGTGTTAAACAACACGTTTATCGTGAACAAAATACCTCGAAATTAATAATGATTACAAACACGAAATGGAAATTCTCAATTTAGAATTACATAATGTATTCGTTTTTATTCAAGGTTCATATGTATAACTTCGCCGTGGTGCAGAGGTAAGCGGTCTCGTTGAGGGTGTGAGAGGCCTATGGTTCAAATCCTAGTCGAGGCAATTCTGTTTTTTTTTTCATGCAAAATTCCATATGTAAATCTCAAACTGTTATAGAAGAAAATCAAAACACTGTCGCTGCGTAAGATGAATTATAGTATATAAAAATAAACTTATACAGGAAAGTACATACAGATAGTCAGTATGATTTAGATTGCAAAGATCAGAAAATACCATAGAGCTGCAGCCCTTTGATTTATTTATTAGCCTGTCCAAATAATAAAACAATTATTGGCTAGTGAGCCTTGAATATGATTGACATCGGCTATCGCCTCGGTCAGTATGTCATCTGCCGGTGAATATCACATCATATTAACTGTGTGGCGCCGTTATATGTCGCAACGCCGCTAAAAACTGGTCAATAATTGTATAATAATAATTCGAAATCTTATTTCGGTTGCTAGTAACTATGAATAGTCGCGATACTTTTATTCAATATTAAGGACAGAAAACAAGATCCTGCACAAAAATAATTGGCCTGAGTTTGAATTGAAGGTCGTAGTGAGCTTGACATAGAACCTTCTGACCTCACAAGGGTTCATCTACAAGCCTGGATCAACATTGCCACTAAATATAACGATCATAAGCCTAATGGCTCCCGAGGTTTTATATTTGAGTGAACAGGGTTTTTTAATGAGAAGTCATTTTCAATCCAAAACATCATATTTTTACCTTTTTCAAAAACATATTCCAACTGCTGACAAAAAATCAAATATTTTAATTTCTGAGACAATAATCTTTTCTGACATGTATCTTAAAAAAACTAACGACGTAAGTATTACTTTTTATCTTACAAATTGGTAAAACTTAACGGGGCTGGCTCCGAGATTTTCAATTAAAATATATTTCCTTTAAATTTATGTACATGTATTAGCGCCATGCGATATTAAAATATCAAATGTATCAAGTTATTGAGCCGACAAGAAAGAGGCTGTTGTGGCTATTGTAATTCCTTTTAATCACAGGATATATTTCGTAAAAACGAAATATTAATTCGTAATGACGAAATTTTTTTTCTTTTTACGAAATATTATTTCATTAATTTAAAAACGAATTAATATTTCGAAATTACGAATTATTATTTCGTAATTGCAAATTTATTTTTCGTAAAAACGAATCAATATTTCGTAAAAACGAATTAATATTCCGTAATTACGAAATAATATTTCATAAAAACGAATTAATATTTCGGGGAAAAAAGTGTGGAAAATGTCATCTTAAGGGCTCCGTACTAATATGATTTTTACTCTAGATTGACAGATTAACAAGTCTTTTTAAGAAATTTTAGCGTGTTAAGGGAGGAGACAAAGTTAATTTATTTCTTTAAGTACAAAGTTAAATACCTATTGTAACGTAAATGTTGTATAATGAATGATATGTTTACCTACCTAGTAATTTTAGAACGTAAAAAGAATCGTGTTCTAAGTTGGCGCCATGTTTTGCTATTAGAGAAACGCTCCTTTCGGTGGTTTTAATTTCCAGAGAAATATCATGTTCATGTGGCAAACAGGTGGGTCCATCATACTTTGACGATTGCTTCTTATATAACACAAGTAATACGTAAAATGTCCTTCAATATGTAGGGCACAAAGACAAATAATACAATTCAAGGCCGAAGCTTAAGTTTTTTAAGGTTTTGTTAACGTTAAAGCATATTTATTTACCTCCATTTTAAAAGAAGGGCACGATCCTATTTTAACAAATCTGAAGTCAAATCTAGGTCTTCGGACTTACCGGTATTTGCGGCATGTTTAGAAACATGATTCTGGCTCTAATAGGTTCTAACTGGTGATGTCTGGTTTACTTGTCAAGTCTTTGTTGTTCTCAATTTCTATGATTGTGGATCCTTCCAAGTGCACTGTTTCCGTCTATGTTTATGCATAGATCCCTTACCTTTCTAATTAAAATTATCAGATTAGTGAATACAATAAAAATTTCACCACAATTTAACAAAGGAGCACATGTCAATGATTGTGGTTAGATCTATAGTTATTCAAATGATGGGTCAGAGTAGGGATCTATCAGTTAATATTAATTTATTGTGTGCGTTTTTTTATTAAAGGTTCAAAATGCCTCATAAATGCTTTTATTTTCATTTTCCGAAAGCTATAGTTTTCAACATGCTACTCATATGCAAATTGCCTATACCAGTTTTTGTTTCCGTTGCTTATTGACAATAAAATATTCGTTTCTGAGGCATAATGTGCCATAACATGAATAGACATTACATGAATAGACATTTTTGTTTTACTATTTCTGGCATTCATTTTTAAATTCTAAATTTTGACAATAAATGAATAAAACATGTAGTTAATTTTGCATCTCATTTCCTGATATGAAATCTTTTACATTTTGTTTGCTTTTATTTTATGCGTTATACTATCTAATTCTCAATATAAGTTTCTTATCATTCATTGTTTAAGAATTTTAGAGTAATATTAAGTAAAGTTAATGGCATTTAAATGCACATATGAAAATTTCTCTGTACACTATTCTACTATATGAAAGCAGTCAATATTTCACCGTGTTAGTAATGATATCAATCGCACTTATTGGTGTGACATTTTTGTAGCAATAAACCATATAAAGACTTCTGAAACAATATTTTCTCCCCGTTAATTTCTATACAATCTGGACAGAAGCAACTAACAATTATTTTGTATATCTTTTTATGTTACAAAGAATATTAACTTTAAAAAGTGATGGCTAGATACATTGACAAAAAAGTAAATTATTAGAACAAATGAGCTGACAATTTTTATAATAATGAAAGAGAAAAAAATGCAGCTCTCAGTTGATAAACCTTACAAATTTCAGTTTTCAGAAATTTTATAAGACTAAATGTTTTGAATATCAGCCTAGTTAAAAAGAAATTCAATTCGTATTAATGCGGTTCAGTCTGCATCTCTACCCACTCTGGCTTGACTTTATTCTGTTTATACTGCTAGCAAGATAGATTTAGATTTAAAAATATATTACAAATTTATTATTTTAGAAAACAGTCCGACCTCGTGAACTTCAACTGCGTCGGGAAAAGACACGAACTGTTTAATATAAGGAAATGTTTATATCTGATGGTGTTATTAGTATAAAGGTTTCCTGCTGAGCATACGTAAAAATGGTAAAATAAAG